CACTCCCCCTGCTTGTGTTCCCTCTCTCGCTGTGTCTCTCTCTGTCAAATAAATAAATAAAATCTTTAAAAAAAAAAAGTATTGCTATACCTCATCTTATTAGTAGATCCAAAGAGAAGAATCATACATATGTTCTGTAGTTGCTAAAAAGGCATTTGACAAAAAATCAACAACCATTCTTTATTAAAACACTCAAAGATGGACTCTTCCTTAGTATGATAAAAGTAAATCTAGTTCAGTGCAAAAGTTAGCATGATAACTAGAGGTACTCTCACTAAAATCAAGAACAAGATAAGGATACTCTCAATCACAAATATTGTTAACATTGGACTAGAGATACCAGTCAGCATATTTAGACAATAGGAAGAAATTAAAGATGTAAAAATTAGAAATGAAGTAGTAAATTTATTTTTTTGCAGATAGCATGATTAAATGCCTAGAAAACCCACAAGAATCAGTTTAAAAACTAGTAACAACAAAATTCAATTAATTAGCAGAGTACAAAGTTAATATGCAGAAGGCAATAGCCTTCATTTGTACCAAAACATCTGGACAAAATATGTACTGAAAGAGAAGATCTCATTTATCTAGAAAAAAACTTAAATGTACGAAATTTTTATAAAGAAAACTTTAAGACCACTTTCTGTAGGACACAAAAGATGACAAACAAATGGAAAGGTAACAAAGTTGTTGGATAGAAAGTTTCCAATGAAAATACCAGCAGGTTTTGTTTCTGCATCTAGATAATTCTAATTCAAAAGTTCACGTGGAAAAACAAAGCAAGAATAGCTAGGAAAACTCTGAAAAAGAACAGTGAGGAAGAACTAGCCTTGTCAAATAGTGAGCCTATTGTAAAGGCTCAGTAATTAAAACAGCATTGTGCTGGCACATGAATCTAGAGATTAATGAAATTATAATAAAAAGCCCAGAAAATAGAAATATGTGGGAATTTAATATATGGTAAAGGAGGATCTCCAGTAGGGGAGAAACATGGACTGTTCAATAAATAGGATTGAGACAACTGGGCAGTTGTGTGGGAAAAAATAAAGTTGAATTCATACTGTATACTGTATACCCATGAACAGCGCAAATATTTAAATGTTTAAAAAACAAAGAAACAAACATAGAAGTACCAGAAGAAAACAGATTTGAAATGGGAAGATCCCTCTGACCCAAAATCCATAAGCATTAAAAAAAAGGTGTATTTTCATACTGTAATGCTCGTATTTTTGGTATTATTGGCGAATTATGGTAATAAAATGAAATTTTCTTAAAAATAAGAAACAGATTTTATGGGGCGCCTGGGTGGCTCAGTCGTTAAGCATCTGCCTTCGGCTCAGGTCATGATCCCAGGGTTCTGGGATCGAGCCCCGCATCGGGCTCCCTGCTTGGTGGGAAGCCTGCTTCTCCCTCTCCCGCTCCCCCTGCTTGTGTTCCCTCTCTTGCTGTGTCTCTCTCTGTCATATAAATAAATAAAAACTTAAAAAAAAAATTAGATTCCTTTAAAAAAAAAAAAGAAACATTTTATGTCAGTCTTTCTACTTGGAAACCTTTTAAACTTGTTCCTAGTAGTTTCAAAAACAATTTATCAAAGTCATAAAAAAACTTCTTCTGATGAAGACTGGTGAAGCTCTATGTACCAAAGTAAGATTACCATGCACTTGAAAAATGAAACATTGTCAGTATTTGTCTTTATTGTGGGAAAGAATATCCTATTGATATTTTTAAAGATTCCTTGATATTACTTCATAATATTATGATTTACGTTTTAATATATCCTTACAAGTGGTCATTTTAAACTACCCTCCACATCTTTCTGTAGTACAGATAAGGTCTCCAGAGGAAACATGAAAAAGACGGCATGTCTTTAAGATTTGTTCCTGGTCACGCAGGCAGAATTGCTTGATCTCTACAAAGTGGTTGACTAGAAATCAGAAAATAATTTGCATGTTAACACAGGGCAATGTTTGGGCGCCTGGGTGGCTCAGTTGGTTAAGCGACTGCCTTCGGCTCAGGTCATGATCCTGGAGTCCCGGGATCGAGTCCCGCATCAGGCTCCCTGCTTAGCAGGGAGTCTGCTTCTCCCTCTCCCGCTCCCCCCTCTTGTGTTCTTTCTTTCTCTCACTCTCTCTCTCAAATAAATAAATAAAATCTTTGAAAAAAAAATAAAAAAAAAAAAAACACAGGGCAATGTTTGCATATATGTTTTCTTTTGAAGTGCAAGTATGACTTTTGCTGGATTTGCCTAGAAGAATGGAAAAAGCATAGTTCTTCCACAGGAGGTTATTACAGATGTACTCGCTATGAAGTCATTCAGCATGTGGAGGAGCAATCCAAGGAAATGACTGTGGAGGTGAGAACTGTTTAAATTAAGGCCTCTGGCTAAACCACTTAATACCATTGGGAATATTTTGCATTTCTTCATTTTCCTATCTTTTGTAGTAATGAGGCATTAAATTGAATACACTTTATTTTTTTTCCTTCCCCCCCAGATTGAATACACTTTAGCCTTTAATTTAAATAAAATAGGTCTATCAACTTGAGAGCTTTCTTTTTTTTAATTTTCCCTTTTTTATTTTGTTAAAGTCTTATATATCCCTGTCTCTATAATGACTTAAAAACAATTTTAACATAATATCAACAATACAGTATTCTGTTACAGCATATAGTAAGTCTCTTTGTCTGCTTGGCTTCCATAACAAAATACCATAGACTGAGTGGCTTAAACAACAGAGATGTATTTCTCACAGTTCTGGGACCTAGGAAGTCCAAGATCAAGATTCTTGCCAATTCAGCTTCTGGTGATGACTCTCTTGCTGGCTTGCAGCGGGCTGGCTGTCTTTGTGCTATATCCTCACATGGTAGAGAGCGAGAGCTCTGGTGTCTCTTCCTTTTTTTAAAAGAGCAATGATTCTACTGGGTTATGGCCCCACCCCAATGACTTTATTTAACCTTTATCACCTCATAGGCCCTATCTTCAAATCCAGTCATTCACATTGGGGGTTAAGGCTTCAACGTGAATTTTGGGGACATACAGTTCAGTCCATAGCAAAAGCAATATAATAAAACATTGAAGATCTGATAAATGTAGGTCTTGAGGGGCATCTTTGCCTTATGCTCTGGGATCATAGGTTCAGTGGTTTATCATAGAGAATACAAATGCAAGACTTTGTTCTGGTAGCCTTAAAAATCTACTGTTGGTTTTTTTTTTCCTCAAAATAATGAAATCTGTATGCACAGCTACCTATTAGTAATAAAAATTTTAAGTGACAAAAAGTCCCCAATTTTAATAGCTAGTACCTTATTTATAAAAGTCGTTTATGGACTTTTGTTTCCTAGGCTGAGAAAAAACACAAACGATTTCAGGAACTTGACAGATTTATGCACTATTACACAAGATTTAAAAACCATGAGCATAGCTATCAGGTATGTCCCAAATCATTTCAAATGCTCTGACTTATACTGTTATGTATAAATAAAGAAAATTATATAAATTATTTATTTCTATTCCTTTAGTTAGAACAACGCCTTCTTAAAACAGCCAAAGAAAAGATGGAGCAATTGAGTAGAGCTCTCAAAGAAAGTAAGTTATAAGTGGTATGTGTGATAATTAATCTAAAATAGCCTTACATGCTTAAGTCACTTCATTGGTAGGAGGTTAAGGCCCTTCAAGGAATACATTATTATCTGCGTTGCTCATTCTGGTACTGCTTGGAGTTCTCAGAAGCCCAGAGTGCAGCTTAGCATTTGAGGCCTCTGTAATGAGATTTTCTACCCGGCTTAGCTCATAATGTTCCTCTTAATGCAGCCTATATTGTTAGCAGATAAACACACATCATGGTTTTGCTTACTCTGTGCCACCACTGATGCTCTCCAGTGTCTGGAACAATGCATGAGCCCTAAAAGGCATCCCTGACCTCGTCAAAAGAGCAAGATTCACGTGTCACCCAGTTGTAGTGTGACTAAATTCCCAAAGATTCTTGAGAAAATTGAGCAGACTGCTTAATGGAATGGAAGTCAAATACAGTTTTGGGAGAAATCTTCTCACTGATAAATAAAGGACATTAGAGTCTGAAAGCAAAGACAGGAGATGGGGCTGACTTATGGATCCTAAAATGGAAATTCAGAAAGAACATTCCTAAAATGTATTGAGTATTGATTGCATCATTAAAATATAATATCTCACAATGACCACACAGAGTATAGGTTCTACCATGTTTGTTTTAAAAAGTCACATTTTAAAATAATCATAGCTTATATATAAAAGGTTTTCAGCCTAAAAATGCAATTGTATTTGCTCCAGTTTGTAAAAGTAAGACCCTTTTCATGAGGGTAATTCCCTAATTAAGATAGTAAGCATAAATGAAATAAATTAGAGTAGGAGAAAAAGTATTCAATAGCAGCTTTGTCTCCTTGTTAATATTTAGTTTTTAGACTTTAGAACTGATGTAACTATATCGCCATTATCAAACTCTTGAAGTACTGTCCACAGTAAAAATGAAAAGGAAAAAACCCTCACCGGTTCTACAGTTCTTCAACGGGGATTTTTGTCTCTTACATCACTGGGTTGTCCCTAATGCTTAGAACAGTGCCTGAGACATAGTAAACATTCGATAAATATCTGTAGATGTGAATTACTGCTTCTTTTCAACCTTCTGGAGGTTCGAGACGGAGACCACATAATGAGATATGAAAAAGAAATGTTACAAGGATTGGAAAGGAAGAAACAAAACTTCACATACTTCTCACACATGTCATAGTGGGTTTGTTTTGTTTTGTTTTGTTTTTCTTTTTTTCATCTTCTTAGTTCAGATCCCTCTGCTAGGGTAGATATTTGGGGATGGTCTGTACATCAATGTGTGTATATACACATGTAATTTCTTTCCACAAGCCTGCAGAATAATCTTACTTTCAAAAGCACTTATGAATCTAGACTCTACTCCTTAGTTTCCCTTTATTTGCAGTTAAGGAGAAAGCTAGAATGTTATAATGATACTTGGAGAAGGAACGGTCTCAGATAGTAAGGCAGTTTCTTCTCCCCTCTTCCTCAGTCTCCCTCCCTTTCTTTCTCTTCTTGATATATTTACTAGCATTAGTTATCCAGTTGTTCCCCAGAATGTTGTATCTTTTTTCTTACAATGTTTTTGCAGAAGCATAATCATAATTTGGTGGGGGTTTTTTGGTTTTTTGGTTTTTGTTTTGTTTTTTGGCAAACAACTGAGCAGGGCATTTGTTTTAATTCTTTTTTTTTTTTTTAAGTTTATTTTTTTTAGTAATCTCTATACCAAACATGGGGCTCAAACATATAACCCCAAGATCAAGAGTTGCATGCTTTTCTGACTGAGCCAGCCAGGAGCTCCCGTTTGTTTTAATTTTTAATCAGCAAAGTTTCACTAGCGATAACCTGAAAAATATAGTAAAGAAGAGTTGACCTAAAGCTAGATTTGTTTAACCAACAGGGTGAGAACAGAATCCAGAATCAGGGTATGCATTCCTTAATGACTACCATCAGTGCTCCTGGGCAACTGCAGTGTGTGCTTCATTTATAAATGCAGACAAGCCATGCATGAGTGTTTTGTGTAGGTGTTTAGTCTAGTTCAGATAATTACTATCATACAGTTACTTCAAACAGTTTTTTCAGAGAGATCCTTTGTTGTTGTTTTTTAGGAAAACTCAGTCGTTTAATTATAACACATATTTGCAAAACAATTTTTTTTCACTGTGCCTGATTTACTTTATAGCTGAAGGAGGCTGTCCAGATACCACTTTCATTGAAGATGCAGTTCATGTGCTCTTAAAAACTCGACGCATTCTCAAGTGTTCTTACCCATATGGATTTTTCTTAGAACCTAAAAGCACAAAGAAAGAAATTTTTGAACTCATGCAAGTAAGATATCTTTTTTAAAATTAAATTTAAATGCAATTTTTATAAAAAACAGGTTTTGTCCTTTTTCAACCACTTAGCTAAGTTTTATCTTATTTGGCTGTGACTAGAAAACAATTTTGTTTTCATTTTTAGAATGGTTTTTAAGTAAAGGAAAAGTTACCAGTAATAAACTGAAATTTTTTTGTATTTAAATTTACCACTGCAGATCCGAGTGAGTTCTGAGCTATGTAAACATTTCCTACCACATTTGTTTATTTGTTTTAAACTGGCTGATGTTGAAATCTGGCCTAATTCTTAATATGTAATTCCAAATTTTATCTTCAAAGATGAAACAAACCACATTACATACTAGATGGGAAAGTTGCTGTTTACTAGTTTATTTTAAAAGTACAACTGAAAAAGTTACAGTATTTAAAAAACAAAAACACCTAAGCCAACTGACATCACTATAGCTGAACAACTTCATTGTACTTCTTTTTTTTTAATCCACCAAACTTTCTTCTCTTGCCACAATTTCCTTGTCACCCCTTTGAGCTGTCCTCTAGTAATTTATATCCTACATTTCTTTTTAAAAATGCTCAATATTAATTTTCCCCATGAAGCCTTTCAGATCTAACCCCAGATCACAGGGATCTTGCCTTACCTCAAATTCCTTTAGCATTTACATATAGTTTACACTACACAGTCATGTATTTGCATATACAATGCCTTGAAATTTACTTTTTTTTTTTTCCACATAGACAAATGGTAAATTCCCTGTAGACATTTGGCATACTCACTATGTCTTTGTAATCTGTACCAACTACATTGTTATAAATGCCTTTCAAAAGAGTGCTATTTTCCAGAAATGTGCAAAATAGAAGTATATATTAAAGAGGAAGTTATTTTATACTTTGGATTAATTTTTTACTTCAAAAGAGTTAGATTTAACTGAAAAACCATAGACAGGGGATTTGCTGCTGACTAACCTACTCAGCCTATAATCCTTCTTTTTTCTCTCTCTCTTTTCTTAACATAGACAGACCTAGAAATGGTCACTGAAGACCTTGCCCAAAAAGTCAATAGGCCTTACCTTCGCACACCCCGCCACAAGATCATCAAGGCAGCGTGCCTTGTACAGCAGAAGAGACAAGAATTCCTGGCATCTGTGGCTCGGGGAGTTGCTCCTGCAGACTCACCAGAAGCTCCAAGGCGCAGGTAAAAAGGATGCATGCTATGGAAATCATCCTAGCTCCAGCCACAAATGCCACCAGGTTTATTTTTTTATCTAACTAGGGTTCATATTCCTGGAAGTTACTCATATCTAAAATACAGAGAGCTGATAAAAGCATGTTAACTTCTTTTTGGGGATTTTTCCCCCCCAGTTATATTTCTACCTTTCTTATATTTTGTTTGTCTTTGTGTAGTTTCTTGGACTAAATTAGGCTAGGTTAATTTCACACTTCAGTGAACTCATAATTCAAAGTATTCTAATGCATCACTTCAAATATGTAATATATGTAGTGATCTGATAGTCATAAATATCTTACAATGTCGAATTTGGAAGCCTTGCCAACTTATTATGGTCTTATTTATATTTTTATATAAGAGGTTATGAAGAAATTAGAAATCTGATATTAATAAAGTTACTTAAGTGATTCATATTCATCCATTAAAGAACAGTTGAGTTTTAGTTGTTTCTTTCAGATACTTATACTACTGCCATTATAAATTGAAGCCTGTTTCCTTATTCATAATAATTATAAGCATTAGAAATTCCTTTGACCCTATTTTCATTACATAAACATTTATAAAATAAAAATAGAAGGAATCATAAAATATTCTGATATGGCATGATCAATTTTATTTTTCTACCATTTTACACGAACATAAAGCAATTTAGAATTTGAAAGAAAGTATTTTTTTTTCTGGAATTTTTTTTATTATGTTATGTTAATCACTATACATTACATCGTTAGTTTTTGATGTAGTGTTCCATGATTTAAAGTATCATTTTAATTATATTCAGCAGTTGATCTACTTTGGTTAAGCAAGTTCCAAGCAGAGGACTTAAAAGTAATGTTCATTGGGCGAGGGTCTGATTGTACTTTGTAGTGCTGATAATAAATCAAATGGTATGTCTAATTTCTTTGTAGCTTTGCTGGTGGAACATGGGATTGGGAATATTTAGGATTTGCATCACCTGAGGTAATTGTTTTATGGGGGGAGATGGGGTTTGTTTTGTTTTTTAATTATATTTTTCCTTCATGAAATCCTGCTTGTATTTCCACCCTTATCTATTCTAAAGTCTATTGAGATTGTCAGCAGTGTTTTCTCTTTCGTATATAATAAAAATGCCTCAGCAGAGTCTACATTTAGCTATTTGTGGTATTGGATTATCATCACATTTTTAATGCATCCCCCTTTTTATTATTTTTAATTACTGAGGAGTCAGAATTAAGGCCAACTTACAGCATATATTTTGGAACATCACTTCACATTGGTTAATGAGATACAAGTTTTATTTATCAGAAATGTATTTTTTGTTGTAATATTATTTCAGTCTGAATCTATGAAAAACCTGCACAATCTGTTTTTTTAAAGTTATTACAACAACCTGATTGAATTGATTTATAATCAGTTTCTAAGGTGGAAACTTGACATTAATAATGTTTATGCAGAAAGAAATGCTTTGCTTAGTTGCTTTCTGTTTCTCTTTAAGATTTTCACCCTCTTCTTGGGTTTTTTGGCTGTTGTTATTGATAGATTTTAAAATACAGTCTAAAGTACTAACACTGCAAATAGCAATTGCCACAAATAAAAATAAGATAGAGTGAAAATCTTAATCACATTGCTATTTTCTGAGATTTAAATTGCCACTGTCACTGGTGAGTCTGATTTTAAATGGTTTTAGCAGTTCTATTTCTGTCTCTCCTTCCTTACTCTTTAAAACAATAGTATATATCTAATGTTTATGTTATAATAACCTTTTAACTTAGTTCTTGGAAGGGAGCAGGACAAACAATGAAACCTTTGTTTATCATTTACAGCCCATTTGGTATCTGAATGAAATCGCTTATGATCCAGAAATGACTGTGGCTTATTTAAATCAGATATTTTCTCTTTTCAGCTGCTGAGGATACTTGCAATCACCTTGTGGCCTTTTGTATTGGTAGATATATCCAAGAAAACATTGACTTGAGAAAACAATTTGTGCTTTGGAAAATTTTAAATTCACTTAAATTGCAAAAGGAATTCAATATATTAATGAAATTTATGTTGTAAAACAAATTATGAACCTTTTCTTTACCTGATCCTATGCTTATTATTCTGTTACAATTACAGCTTTGAGGATAATATGGAAAATTTCCACCTAAAAGCATAAATAAACAAGCTTCAATTATCAAAAAAAAAGTACTAAAGATTTCAGTACTTCAAGGTAGAAACACAATTTAGCTTTATTTGAGCAAAAATGAAACCTTTACCACTGTACTCAGAGTCATGTATACATCATCTTGCAGCTTCTAGCTCCAACAGTAACTTTAGGAATCCTAAATATTTGTCCTTGAATATTGAAGGCCTGCTAATGTGACTGACACAGATTCATTTTATTAAAAAAAAAAAAAAAAGGGAAGCTTGCCACCTCACGTGTGAATATTTATAAATAAAATTATTGAACTGTTGTTCTCCAGAGATTGAGAATTGTGAAAGTATAAGTGACTTTTCCTTCTTAAATTTATTTTTTATGTGTTAATAAGTTTTATAAGAATTATTTAACTACTTTTGTTTTTCTCTTCTCTGAAGTCTTTGGCACACTGAAACACCAAACTTTTATGTAAATCTTATTGCAAGTCTAAAGAATTAACATATAGTGTGAAACTAAAATTCTGCATGTGTGTGACTATCAAGTAACTGCCAAAATAATATCTTGAAAAATTAGCTCTTCGCCTTCATATATACTCTGAAAAAAAATAATGTTACCGAACTCCAGTAAACTTTTAGGTTGAATTTATATTTTTTCCATAAATTCCATCTTATTCTTTAATTAAATTGAATGAGTTAGTGACAATCATAAGTATTTTGTACCACTTTAAAGGCAGTGGAGCCCAGAGGAAAGAGTATAGTGTTAAAGTCTGAGGGACACCTGAATTCAAGGTCCAGCTTTGTAACTTATTAGACTTTAGGCTATATTCTTCCTTAAATTTCTCCTCTTTAAAATGTGGATGGTGCTATCTACTTCGTGGAAGTTCTGGAAGGATTAAAGCGTCCCTTTAAGTCACTGACAGATTTGGTGCTCACCAAAAATCTCCTGACAGCTTTTTCCCCTATGAATCTCAAAATTTCTCAGTCTTCTCGGTAACCTTAATACTCTCGAACCATTTGGAGTATACCAACTAAAGCCTTTTCATGTATTTCCTTAAAAATCTAGGAATTTGGGGGCACCTGGGTGGTGTAGTCAGGTGGGTGTCCCACTCTTGGTTTCGGCTCAGGTCATCATCTCAGGGTTGTGGGGCCCTGCACACAGTGGGGAGTCTGCTTGGGACTCTCTCTCCCTCTCCCTCTGCCCTCCCAATACATGCACTACCCCCCAAAATAAATAAATAAATCTTTTTTTAAAATCTAGGAATTTGGGCGCCTGGGTGGCTCAGTCGTTAAGCGTCTGCCTTCGGCTCAGGTCATGATCCCAGGGTCCTGGGATCGAGTCCCACATCGGGCTCCCT